GCGGCGCGGCGCGCTGAGAAGAAGGAGACCAAGCTCGCGTTCAGACGGAGCGTTCGCGGCAAGTGGAGACGCAGCAGCGCACGGCGCAGGTGCCGGCGACGAGCCTCTCTGGCGACATGGCGGTTCGAGCCCGCTGAACTGCATCCCCCCGGTTGAGTGCTTTTCAGCGCGCGAGAGCCAAGAGAGGGGGCACGCCGGTGAGCCGGGCCCAGAGCGGCGGTGGGGGTTGGGTGGTCACGTAAGAGAGGAACTGTGAGTCAGCCGTATTGAATATGTGATTTGGCAGCCCCGACATCCTCGAGCAGCCGAGAAAAATATTGTCGAGGCGAGCGGGCGCCCGGCGCGGGCGAGTGCCACCGAGTGGCCGCGTTGAGCCACAGTGTCAGTCCCACAGAGGTCAGGGAGCGCAAGGGCCACAAGGGCACCATTGCCAGAGCCTCGAGGCGACCATGCTCGATGCTGTATTTACGCCGGTAGGGCAGCCACACATACACGCTCGCTACCGCCAACTAGAGAAGCAGTGGACAGAGCTTCGACCGTTCGTCGGGGACCGGGCGCCCTTACACCCGCACGCGCATCAATTGGCCAGAAGGGCGTCGAACTTCGCTTTGCTGGACGTCACCTCCCATGCGACGAGGTCCGCCACCATGTTGGCCAGGGGCGGGGGGTAGTTGAGGGGCGTGAAGGTCGTGAGCGAGGGGAAGCCCTCGGCCACGAGCGGATGGTCGAGGGGCACCTTTGAGGTCCACTGATTGGGCAGCGCATTGTCGCGGAGGTAGAAGAGGACGTCCACCTTTCTGCCGGCTTCGACGCCAAAGAATGGGTTGTCGACAGTCTCGAGGCCTTCGAGGACCGCGACCAGCGGTTCTCCCTTCTCAAGGCACGCGTCGAACTGGCGGTACAGCTCGCCCATCTGCGCGTGGCCATCGGCGAAGATCACGTTTTGCGTCGAGATGAAGTGGGGCTCGAGCCCGATCAGACCAAAGTAGGAGGGGATCACCCCCAGCGCGTTGTTGCGCGAATTCAGCTCCATTGGTGCAGACGTCTTGGTGTAGACGTACATGTCTTCGGGATCGCCCTCCGCCCGGGGAAAGTTGGAGAAGGCGGCCACGATCACCTTTTGCGCGCCGCCAGCGACGGCGGTGGCGAGCCCGTGGAAGTCTCCGTAGCCACCGTCATCCATGAGGCAGCAAACTGGCGGCTCGCCCTTGCCTGGCTTGATGTCGAGGATGCGCCTGGTGGGGTGCGACGCGGTGTTTGTCGTGAAGAAGGAGACCGCGTCCGAGATCAGCGCGCAGCAACCGCCCCGGCCGCTGTTACCCTGCGTCCAGGCGTCGAAGAAGGGGGCGTCTGGCTCCGTGTAGTCAGGGTCCGTCGGCCACCCGGGGAGGCCGTTCGTGTCCCCCGCCTGCACCACGCCAAAGTGCCCGCCGGGCCCGTCTTTCCCCTTCAGGTAGCTGTCGTCCGTTCGCACGCCCAGCGCATCCGTGCCCACAGCTACCACGTCCATCAATCGCATCCCCTCGTCGCCTCCAAACTCCGTGACTGGGGTCGAGTGCGGCGAGAAGCGCATCTCGTCCCACCCGCCGGTGTGTGCGCCGCTCCCGCAGCGACCGCAAGTCAGCTTGTGGATCGTCCTGCTGCAGCAGTTTGCGGAACTGGCCGCCTTGGCGCTCGCCTTGACGGTGCCGCTGTAGCCGTGGGAAATGGCGTCGGCGCGCGCAGTAAACGGCACGGGCAAAGCGCCTCCAACTTCGTCTCGTGCCATCGTGACGGCCTCGAGTTTGAACTCGTCGATCGCAAACACCCAATCGAACGGGAACAGGCTCGCCCAGTCCCGGTTGTCTTGATTCAGCGTCTTATAAGCGTTCCAGCGGCTCTTCGCCCACAACCACAGATACTCGCCGTTGTTTGCCTCTGGTGCTGCCAGTCTGAGACAGAAGACCGGCTTCGGGACGCCCTCGTTGACCACGATGAAATCGTTCTCGGTGAGTTTGCGGCCCGTCGCTCGAGTCGTTTTCGCGATGGTCTCCTCCATCGCCAGGCGATTTGAGGCTGTGAATTTGGTGAACTTTTCTGGCTCGATGCCGAGCTTGATGAGCATGAAATCGATTGCGACCGGCCAGGCGCTGGAAATCGACGTCTTGAAGCACGGACAGCACTCCATGATGGAGTGGAGCGAGGATGTGCAGCACCCCACACCGACGCCGTCGAAGCCGGTTGTGAATGCCTCGACCATTGAACCCTCCACCACATCATCGAGCGACAGCGTGCCACCCTCGGCTATGCCCTCGTACTCAGGCACGGCGTTTGGGTCTGCTGGTAGGCGGCTCATCGAGAGAAGCGACTCGAGAGGGCGTTCGGAGTAGCCGAGGGCTGCAACCGCAAACTGCGCACCGGAAATCCCAACCATCTCCGATGACTTCGATGATTCGCTCACCGGGCGTCAGCTTCGCCAGCTCCGCGGCCGGTGCCTCCACAGCAGCGACTGGGTCACAACTGAGCCTCGTGCCGTCTCAAAGCCTCGTGCCGTCTCAAAGCCATCTGAGCGGAGCAGTATCCAGCCGGATCGGGCCGGGCTGGTGTCCACACGGCTCTCCGACACGCCGTGTGCGATCAAGAGGCGGCAACGGCCCGACTCAGGGGACATCGTGACCCAAACGGACCACCTAAGCATCAGCACCACCCCGCCCCCACGACGACCTCCCGCCCCGCCCTCCGTGCCAATCGATTGCCGCAGCTGTCCCCCCCCCATAGCAGGTCGGCGCCTTCCTTGCTGCCTTCACCTTCAGTACCCTGTTGGGATCCCTCCATCCCGTCTCCTGTCCCTGTGCGCTCTGATCTAAGAAAATGACGGGAGGGATTTTTTTTTGCGTGGATATCTGCTCTCACGCGGTTGTTCCTCTTGGTTTTTGATGGCTCTCTACAACGAGTCTCGCTCTCTTGACGTGACGAACCTGCAGGGCGCCGAGCTCACCCGCTGCCTGCGGCTGCGGCTGCGAGAAATTGTCGCCGACGTACGCGAGCAGCACAATTTGCCGCACGACAAGCCGCTTGCGCTGAAGATTGGCGGGGCAACCGAAGACCGTTGGAGACGCCGATCCTCCAGCGTGGAGCAGTACCCCCGCGGTCTGTTTCACGAGGAGAAGTTCCTGCTCGTCAAAGGCGGCGTGTCGGACGTTGAGGGCGCAGCGCTCGAGGCGGCCTGTATCAGTCTCATGCGGTCGGAGGTGAGTGGCGCCCTTTGCATCAATACCCGCCTGGAGGTGCCACTTTGGGAGCACCGCAACGCCAGCGCCGCGCGGCCTTCCGCTGTCTACATGAACGTCGTGCTGCCGAAGCTCGAGATCGAGACGTACGACGAGTGGATGGTGGCGTGGCACTCGCATCAGCTGACCACCCACAACCCGCACACGCTCCGGCTCGATGGGAACGATGCGTACTCGCGCGGCACCGACGCGTTCTCGCGCGGCACCGACGCGTACTCGCGCGGCACCGACGCGTACTCGCTCGGCAAGGACGCGTACTCGCGCGGCACCGACAAGCGCTCGCTCGGCACCGACAAGCGCTCGCTCGGCACCGACGCGTACTCGCTCGGCAAGGACGCGTTCTCGCGCGGCACCGACGCGTTCTCGCGCGGCACCGACGCGTACTCGCGCGGCACCGACGCGTACTCGCTCGGCAAGGACGCGTTCTCGCGCGGCACCGACAAGCGCTCGCTCGGCACCGACAAGCGCTCGCTCGGCACCGACGCGGTGTCGCGTGGGACTGCCAAGCCGCAGGCGAGCGGCGCAGATCGCAAGCAGCACTCCTACCCTGCTTCACGAGTCCATGGACTCGACCTCGACGCGCTGCAGCTGGCATGGGACGAGGGCGGCCTCGCCATGCCGTATTCCCTGCCAGAGATGTTTTCTGCAGGCCGCCGCCGCTTCAACTCGTACCTCGACGACATCCGCGAGTCGTCCAGCAAGCTCAAGAAGCTCATCGACTCCAAGGTCTGCGGAGGCCAGCTGAACACAAACAAGTTCGATGAGTTGCGCGACGCCTTCAACGCGGCGCAAACCGAGGCCGGCACCGACGCTGCAGACGACACGCAGACGCCGCCGCGCAAGAAGCGCAAGCAGGAGGACAAGGAGGAGGGCGAGGAGGAGGAGGCGGGCGTCTACCTGCTCTCCACTTCGCAGCTGCCGCGGCACCTGCTCGTCTTCGCGCCCATCCGCGCGGACGCCACCTGGGGTGAGATCGTTGCCAAGTACTCCAAGTGCTTCGACGAACACGTCTCGAGGGCCGTGTGGGAGTCGGGCGGGGTGCGTACCCTCGTCTTCGACGACGCGAGCCTCGCGGCTGCCAAGGCGGCTTTCGCGGCCGCCGCCGACGACTCCACCTCGATGGTGCTGCGGTCCTGGAGCGATGCAGAGTCGCGTGCCGCTGAGGTCGACGTCGATTGAGGAGGCTCCGCCCGGGGGGCGCCGAGAAGCTGAGAGGGCGGGCGCGCTGCAGTGTGTCTCCCCCTCTTGTGCGTCTCTTCTGAGTCCGAAAAGTCTGTATGTACTCCTCTTCCCTCTCCTCTCGTGCGCGCCCCCGCCCCTACCCTTCTGTTCCCTCCGCGTGCCGCCGGGCGCGCTTGCTCGCCTGAACACTTGTCTTGGGAGCCACGACGAAAAATTATCATTAGGGAAAAAGGAAAATCATCCGCACATCGACAAAAAGGTGAAGTTCGCTCGAGGAAACGGCGCCCGCGAAGCGACCCTCTCGTGCAGCGCCGCTCGCACGCCTGAGTGAGACTACGCAGATTTCTGTGTTCAGAGCCTCAAAAGGTGCAAGAACGAGCCGCCCACCGAGTTGCAGCTCATTCTGGGAGTGGGTTAGCTCTCGCTGTGCCTCCCGCCGCGGCAGTGCGGTGGGGCGGTCGGGCGCACCATGCCTCGGCGGCACACACGCCATCACCAGCACCAACCGGTGGTGAAACTACATGCAGTAGCCAGGGGTCCACATGAAACAGATGTGGCAATGAAATACTGGAGCACTACACATGACTGCACCTCGGCGACGCTCGCGGGCTCTCCGTTGCACCGTGCTCCTCTTCTAATGTTCACCTTCAGGAGGCCACCCGTGAGAGTCAACGCTCACCTGGATGTCCGACTGGTCCGGTGGGTACTAGGAGTGCTGTCGCCTTGACGCGGCGAGGGCGTGCAACCTGCTCTGTGGCACCAAGTGTCGCCTGGCGGAGTTGTACGAGATGGTGTGTCCACCATTCCGGCCCGGTGCAAAGGCATGCTGCACCAAGAGCTACTGCACACTTCTCTCTGTGTTGCTAGTGTTGCACAGTGTTATCAACACAGCAAGTATTCCAAAAAAGTTACAAGTCGCGCGGCCGCGCGGGCTTTCCGCGCAAGCTTCGCGGAAAGTACAAGGAAATCATGAGGCGCGCGCCCCGCCGCACCGCAAAGGACGCGTGCAGCACGCGGTTGTATGGCCCCACGTAGAGGACGCCCCACGGACCTTCTATGATGTACACACCCCTGTGCAAGGTGCCGGACATCAGAACCTGGCCTCCGCCATCCAGTTGGTCGCCACGAGCGGCCTTGAGGCTTGGAGCCCTACTCACATCGGCAGCAAAGACAGCGGCAATTGCAAAGTTGCCCTGGTCGATGTGACCAGGGCAGCAGTCAAGGTACGTTGACAGTCGTGCCCATGCCACACCCTCAGCAAGCCTGTACGACACGTCCAGCTGCCGCAGCATCTCGAGCGCTACATCTGGCCACAGCCTCTCGCAGTGACGCCACACGTCCTGTATAAAGGGAACCCAGCGGCACTCAAAGCGGCGCATCACATCCACATCCAGCATTGACCTGAGGCTGTAGCCCACCCCTTTGTGCGAGGCCTCCATTTGCCGAGGTGAGCCTCCAACCCCGGTTGAGTATCCAATTTGTGTGCTCCTATGCTGACTCGCAAAAAGGTCACCAAAAGAATAAAAGATTTCCGTCTGATGCTGGTGCCACGGGTCATCATGGCCCTTTTTCCGGAAGAAGACCACATCCTCCGCCAGGGCCTGAAACTCAAGTGGGGAGTAGTAGCTCCCGTCTTCCTTGTGCACGCCTGCGTGCACGTAGAGACAGTCCATGCCTGCAACACTTTTTGGATCGGCTTCTTCATTGTCCGACCTGGACATTGGTTTGTACATGCACACCTCTATCTTGTACTGTGTTGGAAAGGCATACAGCAGTGGCAATTGGGGGCAAAACATGCGCATGTCGATATGGAACAGTTCTGCGCCCCTCAGAGCGGCCTGCACCAAAAGGTCTTCAGCTGAAGGGAGGCAGACCTTGGACGGCTTTGCACCAAGCTTGTTCAGCTCCGACACATTGTCTGGGAGGCACGAAATCACCAAATGTGAATCCACAGCCCTGTCAAAGGCAGGGTGGTGCCAGGTCTTGCCGAATGGAAAGGGCCGACCGTCTGGCCTAGTCACCTCGTGCAATTCAAAATCATCGTCGCTGTTGAGGTGACGAGTCAGCTGGATGACCGCATTTGCCGAGCGGACCGGACGGTACCAGCCCTTCTCCCCAAAGGCCTGAAAGTGGTTGACCCAGAATTGACTCAAGGCACAGAGCTCGTCGTGTTCTTGATAGGGCGAGAAGGAGCCTGGTGCGAGCAAGTCGCCAAGTACGCGAGGCTGCCAGGATTCTCCCGGCGGCGGCGGCTTCCACGAGATATGGCTCAATTCGCCGGCGAGTCCGGATTCTATCAGCTCATTCACACCGGCCGCGACTGCTCCGTTGTTCGCCCCTCCCAGCCCACCCATGCGCGCTTTGATGGCATGCAACAGCCCGGCGCCTCTCGGCTTCGACACCCGCTGGCCAAGCCTTCTCGCCTCGTCGGGGTAGGTAATGCCGTCGCCAGGGAGGAGGTGTCGGCTCTTGACGTTGTGCTTCGGCTGTGAACGCTCGGTGACGCCCTCGCTGGACGCGGATGGCGCCATGCGTTTGAGATAGCGCCGCGACATGGTGACGAACGCCTGAGCGTTTTACGTGTTTCACCCACACCCCTCTCGGTGTCCGTTTCATTTTGAGCTTGGCCTTCAATATGAAACAACCGCAAGGCGGACATGCGCTGGACGCAGGTCGAGCTCGACTTCTACGCGGACACGGGCTCGGTGCGCCTGGATGCCAACAAGGCGCGCTCGATGGAGGGCAAGGCCTGATGGGAGAAGGTTTGGGGGAGGGAGGAGGTTGGGAAGTTTGCATGCCCTTGACGCGAGGGGGAGGGACTGGTGAGACTCACCGCCAGTGAGCGACGCAGCACTCCAGAGTAGTGACTAGTGTGTGCGCGCTCCGCGGAGAGGCGAGGGGAGGCGCGTGGTCCGTGGAGGAGAGACGAAACAGGCGTGTTTGAATTCCTTAGTGCCAGTGCGCGCCACCCCCATGCCCAGAAAGGAAGAAAGAAAACCGACACTCCAAGGGAGGGTTACGGTAGCGCCCCCACATACACTGTGGGGAAAAAAGAAAGATAGGGCGGCGGCGTGAGCAAAAAGAAAGCGTCCCTGCAACGGGGGAGCACCGGGGAATTCTTCTTTACGTCGATTCTTCCCCCTGTGATCGTCCTTTATTTCCAAAATCCTGCTCGTGCAGGTGGGGACTCTGCCCTCCTCCCCCAGCCCTCGTTTGGGTTGCTCTGGTTTTGTTCGTCTTCTTTACGTCAAGTCGACCCGTTTTTTTTTCTATCGCAGCGCACTCGCATCTCTGTGAGCCTAGCGCAGCGCGAACTCGCTCTGAGCCCAGCGCAGCGCGGACTCGTCGTCCGAGCCTAGCGTAGCGCGAAGTCGCTCTGAGTCCAGCGCAGCACCTCGTACATCACCATTTTGGCTCGCCAGCTCAAGCCCTCCGCGCCCCCACACCGGCATATTTTTTTGATATTTCTTTTTCCCATGACAGACCTTTGCCCAGAATGGGCACGCACGGACAAAGTTAGCCCGGTAGCCTCCCAAGGCAAGCAACACAGATGGTAGCACGTAAAGGCGAGCTGTACGCAAGTATTCCAGCACGCCGAGCGCCTTCAGGCCTCGCAGAAAGCCCTCAGTGATGGGCACGGCCGCTGAGCCGCCACCCTGCAGCGCGAGATCGAGCTTGTCAGCCCCGTTGTCGCCCATTGCACGGTCGAGTCGAGCGGATCGCGTCGTCACAACGCAGGGGACGTCAGTTCTATTGGCCCTGACCAATGACGGTGAACCTTCTTTTCTAGACGGCTTGGATTGAGAGCAGCCTCGCTCTCAATCCTAGAAGTCGAAGGATTGTGAGCAGCACTCCTCGCAATCGTAGCATCTCTGTACGATTGCTAGCACCCACGCTCGCAATCCTACATCTTCTAGGACTAAGAGCAGCTCCGCTCCCAAGGTGACTGGTGACGCCTATGACTACTACCAGCGCGCTCGCAATCCGAGCAAAGTCTAGGATTGCGAGCAGCACTGCTCGCAATCCGAGCAACATGCCTCCGATTACGAGCAGTAGCGCTCGCAAATCCTACATCTTGTAGGACTATGAGCGGCGGCGCTCACAATCGTACCCAAGATCCAAGGATTGCTAGCACGCGCACAGAGGGCGCTCCCAATCGCTCCAGCCGCGAGCGCTTGTGAGTGAGCGCGCCGGGAGGGTCTCCTCACAATCCAAACAGTGATCGCACCGATTGCGAGGGGACCCGATCGCAATCCTAGAAGTCGTAGGACTGTGGGCGGTGTCGCTCGCAATCGGCGAAAGTTCTAGGATTGCGAGCGCTACTGCTCTCGCAATCGGAGGCATGTTGCTCGGATTGTGAGCAAAGCTGCTCGCAATCCTAGACTTTGCTCGGATTGCGAGCGCGCTGGTAGTAGTCATAGGCGTCACCAGTCACCTTGGGAGCGGAGCTGCTTTTAGTCCTAGAAGATGTAGGATTGCGAGCGTGGGTGCTAGCAATCGTACAGAGATGCTACGATTGCGAGGAGTGCTGCTCACAATCCTTCGACTTCTAGCGGGATTGAGAGCGAGGCTGCTCTCAATCCTAGCCGTCTAGAAAAGAAGGTTCACCACCCAATCGCCAATGACCCACCCAGTATTGTTGCGGCAGTGCTCCTCTCGCGACTTTCAGAGCACGGAGGGGTGGGGAAGCAAGCAGGCGCCCAAACCCCAATCCCCAAATAATTACAATTTACATCAGGATTTTGATAGTAGATAGAGCCGTAAGACAACCATAAGAAATACTTAGAGCTGGGGCGCTCAAACAGAGCTCGTGAAGTTTCTTACTGAGCGGCTGGCGGCGGGGGCGAGCGCGGTGCCCATTCCGCAATCCACTCCTTCATCGTGCGCCGTGGCGGCGCCAATGCGAGTAACTGCGGAGAGGTCGTGTGCAAGAAGCCGCCATCCCGGATGACTTTGAAGTTGTGCGCAGCAGCCTCAGCCAGCCAGTGCTCAAAGCCGCTGCCCTTAATGGCAGCAGCGACCCACTCGGGCTCCGAGCAGGTCGCCATCTCGATCGGACGACCGAGCTCCTCCGTGTATAGCGCCGCGATCTGCGACCAGGTCAATACATCGGGCCCACTGATCATGAGGTGGAGGCCGTGATATTTGGATGGGTCGCTGTCGAGGAGCATCTGCGCTGCAATATCGCCAACGTCGCGCGGGTCAACAAGTTGAGCCTTGTCCTCGGGCTTGAGCGGGTACACGATGGCACCATTTGGCAAAGTACCGAAAATGTCGCCAAGGTGGTTCGACATGAACCAGTTGGCATGCAGCACCGTCCACTTCATGGCGCCAGCGCTCTTTGCCAAGTGCTCCTCGATTTCCCAGTGGTGTCGGCCGAACTCAACGGGCGAGTCCTTGTTTGTGTAGCCCGCGTGTGTGCCATTCTCAACGAGGTACGTGCATCCCGCAGCAACAGCCGCATCAATGACGTTGATCTCCATCTGGGCCTGCTCCTTGGCGTTGCCACAGACAAGGAAGACGGCCTTCACGCCCTGCAAGGCTTCCGCCAGGCCCGCCTTGTCCATGAGGTCGCACGCCACTATCTCCACGCCTGGCAACCTCTGGAGCTCGGCAACTTTACCGCCCGTGCTCGAGCGTGTCTGGGCCTTCACGCCGACACCTGACTCGGACAGCTTCCGCACAACTTGCGAGCCAACATTGCCAGTTGCTCCTGCCACGAAGTACATGCAGCCCAGGGCGCCCGGTCAGGCGACCGCGGGCGCAGTTAGGCCTCCTTATGCTCACGCCTGTGTTTTCTTTTTCTGTGAAAAGGGCTCTAAGGGTCCCTTTTACGAACATAGTTTCCACATTCTTCTACCTTGCGGGCCCCAACTTTCGTGAAGAAACCTAAATTTTGTTTTTTTTCTCCTCGGCCGACGCCTGTGGGGAGAGGCGTCCACTCGGAAAGCCGCGACGGGAAAGCGTCAACTCGCTGTTCGCGAACGCTCTCCGAGCTGCTATTCGTCGGCTGCAGAGTATGTCACTCACCTGCTTTGGCGGGAGCGCCCTCTGCTGTGTCTGCACCGGCACGCTGCTTAGGTGGCGTGCGAGCAACCGGCCGACGCGGCAGGCTCAGCGGTACATGCTCGCGCCGGACGAGGAGGATGAGGAAGACGAGCTGCTGCAGTCGGACATGGTGGTCGAGCCTCGGTTCACAGCATCTTCAGAGGGCGGCTCTGATGTCGAATCGGAGGCGCGTGCCCATCGCCACCGACCATTGTATTTCGCAGTTGGCTATGCCGCGCCCGCGCGCTCGCCTTGCGGCTCGCCGTCTCGTCTCACGCTAGTCGACGTCTTAGGCTGGCGACCTGCCAAGCGACGCCTTTGCCCGAGGCCTCGCGGCGTTGCCGTCAGGTTGCGCGAGCAGCGAGGGGGGTGATACGGACACGCTATTTTCTCACCGCAGCGCCTGCGGACCGCAGGTCCTGCCGAGGGCGACCTGATTGGGGGCGAGCACACCGCCGCCACGCCCGCGACGGGCGGGGTGACTCGCGAGTCGTGGGTGGCTGACCTCGACGCGGCGCGCCATGCAGCCCCGGGGGCACCGCTGAACCCCCTCCTCCTCCCTCCTCCCCACCCGGCTCCTCTAGGCTGATCCTGCCTCACCCCGCCCCCGCGCCGCACAGGAGCTGGCAGAGTTCGACGCGCTCACAGCGTCGGAGGCCGCAGCGCCACCGCTCGGCGACGGGGCCATGAGCCTTCCCTGAGCCGTCGCGCTTCCAATAGGCGCCGCAGTCTGGGGACGGGGCCGCGTTGATGGCAGAGCTGGGCGACCGACTCCTCGCTCCTGCCCCGAGCACGCCGGCGGCGCGGGAAGCGAGCACGCCCGTGAGCGACGTACCTTCCTTTTAGAATGCTGCCCGGCTGTGCACGGCATGAGGGGACAGGGGGAGGGGGTGGGCGTGCTGACAGTGGACCGCTGTATGGATTGGTGCGGTGCATCTCGCACCTGCTCGCAAACTCAATCCGAACCGATGGAGTACTCTCTCCGCTGAAGTGAGAGAGGGTCAGGAGTCTATATCTACAAACAAGGGCCTTGTTGTGTTACAACTCCGAGCGTCTCTCTTTCGCTCTCTCGAGAAGAGATAGTTTATCAAAAGGTGCGGCATTCGAGTTTCGACGCCCGCCCCGCAGGCCGCGCACCGGCCACCGCGCACGGCGCCCGCCCACCCCACACTCTCACTCGCATGCGTCGCCGCCCCCGCCCTTGACGGCGCCGAGGACGTGGAGCTTGCCGGGCAGCACCGAGATGTGCGTGCTCGCGTACGGCACGAGCTCGCCGTCGATGGCGAGCATGCCCGGCTGCTCGGCGGTGCGCGGCTGCGGGTCGAGCTCGATCTCGGTCGCCTTGACGTACTCGAGGAAGGGGGCCTCGGCATGCTTGCCCGACGTGAGGTCGACGAACGTGCTCAGCGCCTCGCAGCGGCCGACGCGTCGGATGACGAGCAAGTCGACGCAGCCTGTTCAGAGGGCGCCGTGTCCCGCCAGCAGATCGACGCGGCCGCCGCCGTCGTGGGAGAGGCGCGCGGGGCGAATCTCGGCAAATCTCGGCAAATCTCGAGTCTCAGCGAGTCTCGGCGAGTCTCGCCGTCGTCGAAGAGCGCGCGCGGCGCGAGCTGCGCGGAGGTCGTGAGCCTAATGAATGATTCAGCCTACTGAGTCCTTGACTAAGCCCAGGTGAGCCCAGTTCAGCTGCGTGGAGGTCGTGGGCCAGCGCGTGTTGCACGCCCACACGGAGAAGAATGGCGCCTCGAGCGTGCGCCACGCCTCGCTGCCCTTCGGCTTGAAGCGCAGCCCGCCCGCGTACTGCCGCTGCGCGAGCATCAGCCAGAGGGCCTGTGTGGGAAGAGAGGGGGGCGTGAGCGCATGCAGGCAGAGGTGTGGGACGAGCGAGCGTCCGCCAGAGGGCCCACACGTCGAAGCGAGTCTCGCCCATCCAGCGGAGGTGCTCCGAGCCTAGAAGGTTCTTAGAAGGTTCCTAAAAGGGTTCCTCCTCGCCCAGCAAGCGGAGGTGCTTCGAGCCTAATTCATAATTACGCCCAATGGATAGCTGACAGGTGAGCCCAGCCAGCGGAGGTGCTCCAAACCGAGGTCGAGGTCCGCGGCGAAGGCCCACTCCATCGAGAGGAAGCCGTGGAGGAGGCGCCCCTCCGCCGGCTGCGAGACGCGCATCACGTCGAGCCGCTGTCTATTGAATGCACCAGCCGAGAGGTGGCCGAGGTACGAATGACTGATGGCAGCATCACGTCGAGCCGCTGCCGGCCGCCACAGCAGAGGAGGCGCGCCGCCGCAACCGGCCCGGTCGGCTCTCCCGCCGCCTTGAGCGGCGAGGCACAGAGTCGTCATCCTCACCAACAGCACCACCCTTGCTACGACGACTATCACTCTTCTCATTGTTTGCCTTGAGCAGCGAGACGCACAGCGAGTTTGCAGAGCCGCCGGGCAGCACGCCGATCGAGAGGGCGGAGACGGCGGCGTCGGCGTCCTCCCGCGCGAAGAGGCCGTTGACCAGCTCGTGCACCACCCCGTCCCCGCCCACGCACACCACGGCGTCCACCTCGGCCGGCTCGATCTGCGCAGCGATCTCCCTCACGTGCCCCGCGTGCGTCGTCACCACCTCGGTCAGCGCGACGCGGTGCGCCTCGAATAGGGGGCGGCAGCGGGCGTAGACGCGCCGCGCGTGGCCAGGGCCCGACACCGGGTTGATCAGCACCAGCCACCGCTTCTGACGCGGCGGCGGCGCGTCGGGAGCCACGCCGTGCATGATATTCCACACCGCTGCTGCCCACCGCTCGGCCTGGCCGCCGTCGCGGCAGGGCATCCTGGCCTGAGAGGGCTCGCGGTGCGGAGAGCCGAGGCAGCCGCCGCCGTGCAGCGTCACGCAATGCAGCACCAGCTCGCTGCGCTCGGCGGAGGCACCGACGCAGTCGGCGAGCGCCACCGACTGCACGCGGCCTGTCGACGTCAGCGGCACGTACTGGACGACCTGCCACGACACGTTGAGCCGCCCGCCGCCCGTCTCCTCGCTCAGGAGAGCGGTGTTGCTGAGGAGGAGCTCCTCCGCGCTCATTGAGTTGACTGTGCCGCAGCTTGCTGCTGCGCCGCAAGCTCTGATACAAGAAAACGCTCGCTTTTGCCACTGAGCGGCCATCGCAGTACAGCTTCGTATCCGACGATGTGGATATTGAATCGCGGCCAGTAAAGAAAATTGCGTGCGGATTCAATCATCCCTGCCGGGTACCTGCCTAGTTGGGCTGCAGCGCGTACGCAGCGCTTTGCCAATCGAAAGCTCTGGCAAGCGTACGTCGCAAGAAGAGACGTGGCTGCGGGGGAGATCCAGAACTCAGGAGACCCTAATGTCGAACTGCTCTTCCATATGGGATCAAGGATCTGACCAAGATCCTGGGCACGGGTCTGACGACGAATAGCGAGGGGTTCGCCACTGCAGAGGCGGGGAGTATGGCATTGGATTCTTATTTTGCAACTTGTGCAGCGTATCCTGTCAAGATTCACCCACGGAACATTAATGAAGATGGAACATTCACACACGCTCATTCTTGCTGAGGTGGCGTGCGGCGCGGTGAAGAATCTAGATGTACAAGATCAAGCTTGAGAATCATCCGCGAGTGGCCAGTATCTGACAGCACACAACGGAATTCCGGCCAGGTCGTTGCAACGATCACTCGAGCTACACCATCTTGCACAAGCCAGGCAGTGGGTGTGTGTGGGAGGGCGAATGGGAGCTCGAACATGTTCGTCACTCTGTGTGCAAGAGATCAAGCTTACTAATCATGACCTCCGTGGCCAATATCTGACAGCACACAACTCCATTTTGACAGGGACACCTGCGCAACGATGGCTCGACGAGCTACGCCTTCGTGGACGTGGTCGAGCCACGCCCAATGGGTGGTCTTTGGACTTTGCGTGCGAGGGAGTGTGATGGAAAAAAGAAAGAAAACAGACAACCCAAGGGAGGGATGGGAGGACGGCACGCCGCCACCACACACACACACAGGGATTTTAAGGAGAGGTGTGTGATGCGCTAGCCGTCGCCCACCCTAGGGAGTCTGCCTCTTCCTATCTCTCTTCGCAGTCTCTCGCCGATTCTCGCAACCACACAGGGATTTTAAGGAGAGGTGTGTGGTGCGCTAGCCGTCGCCCACCCTAGGGAGTCTGCCTCTTCCTATCTCTCTTCGCAGTCTCTCGCCGCTTCTCGCTGCAACCTTCATGCCACCTCGCGGTCGTCCCACTCTCGTCGTTCTCTCCCTTGTCATTTCCTCCTCTGACGCGCGTCGTTCTCTTCTGCCTCGTCCTGTGACGCCACCGCCTGCCGGTCCCTTGTTCTCGCGGCTTCTTTCGCCTTTCGGCGCAACTCCGTCCTCCTCGCGGCGTATCCTGGCCCCTCGAGTCTATCGAGCTCCCCTCGCGCAAGGACCACATTTCTGACTCCCACTCCGATCATTTGCCTACAGGTCATGTTGTTGCTCAGGTCCACTCTCTCTTCGAACACTCGTGCCTCTACGGATGATGCCGGCGCTGGGGTTCCCTTCGGGTGCATCGTGACAGCTGACAACTGGATTTCCACTGGTTCGTCCTCCTCGGAGTCATCTTCCCCGTCCTCCTTCCGCTCGGCTCTTCGCTCGGTACGTTCGGTGTGGCTCACCCTCCATGCCGTGAACAGGCGCTTTATCCACCCTATATTCTTCTCTCGTTCCTCTGCCAGTGCCTTGGTCTTGTCGTTGTTTCGCACCCATGTCTGTATGGCAATCGAGGCTGCCTTCCCCACTACCTGTAGTTCACTCGTCACCTCTCCCGCGAGCTCCCTTCTCTTTCTTTCGGGTATGGAGTCCGTGAGAGCCCTGAATGAATAAATAAATAAATACAACGGACACGCCAAACGAGGGGTGGGAGAAGGACAGGGTCCCCACCTGCACAAGCAGGATCTTGTAGGACGATCAGGGACACAGGGGAACGGGAGCGGGGAGCGCATCGCGACACGGAGGGGGGCTGGGCAGGGGGTTCACCCTCACGACAGGAATCCCATCTCTCGTATAGGACAGGTTGCACCCGGCGGCACGGGGGCAAGCGCGGGCCTCCTACTGGTTGCGCTCTCCTAGTTCTCCTGCTCCTGACAAGGGACAGCGACAGGCTCGCAGCACGGTGGACTCCCTATCCACTGGCGATCTCTCTCGACTAGCGACCTTCCTCCGACGTCTCACCGGCAGTCTCTTCTACCACAGGCAGACTGACACGTGGGTGGCAGTGGCGGTGATAGGAGTCTCCCACTCTGTGGGCCTCGCTAGAAGTGCGACCCCTGCGCGTGTCCTCGCCCTTGAGGAAGGGGAAGGGGCTGTGTGTCTGTGCATGTGTACAACATGTGTGTGTGTGTGTGTGTGTGTGTGTGTGTGTGTGTGTGTGTGTGTGTGTGTGTGTGTGTGTGTGTGTGCTCGCTCGCTCGCTCGCTCGCTCGCTCGCTCCCTCGCTCGATCGCGCGCGCGCTGCGCGAGCCGCCCTGCCCGCTGCGCTGCTAGGGTTGCGCTGCGGGAAGGGCTCGGCGGCCGTTCCTAGAAATCCTCGTCGCTCCCCTCGTAGAGGGAGGGCTCGTTGGACTCGAGGAGTGGGCCGCCGTCGGAGGAGGAGCGGGCGGCTCCGCGGGCGACGCTCGCCCAGTTCTTCTTGTTGCTCTTGACCTCGCCGCCGCCGCCGCCGCCGCCGCCGCGGCCGCCGCGCCCGCGCCGCCCGCGGCTTGTGCCCAGCCTGACCGCGCTCGGCATGCGCTCGTAGATAGTGTCCTTGAAGGCGGAGTGGAGGAGCGCCTCGAAGTTGACGCACGGCGCGTAGCGGCAGCGAGCGGCGGTCTTGCACGGGATGGCGGTCTGGTTGAAGGCCGGGCAGAAGCCGATCCCGTCGCGCACCGCCATCGCCTTGGCCTTGCCCGCCGCGCGCGCGACCTCGACCCTGTTGTCGACGATGAGGCTCTCGAAGGTCTTCTTCTTGGCGACGTTCGCCGCTGCGGCGCGCCTCTCCTTGAGCGCCTGCGCGCCGCACTGCGCGTCGTGGATGATGTCGGCGCTCGTCGTCGCAAAGGCGCGGCACGATGGGCAAAGCTTGTTCCCGAGCACCTTCACACTCCCGACGTCGAGGCGGAGGGGTCCGCCGACATCGCCGCTCGCGTAGACGTTGGGCAGGACAGGGAGGTTGCAGACGAGGTTCTCGTTCTTCACCTTGAAGAGGATCGAGCCGTCCTTCTCGTCCGACTTCGTGCCGAGGAAGGAGTGGTATCCCTCCTGGATGGAGACCACGTTGCCGAAGTGCTTCTCCAAGAGGGGGGCGAAGTGCTCGATCTGGGCCGCGGTGTTGATGGCGCCGCGCGTGCGTATGGCGAGGAGGCCGTCGGAGTCGATGGTCGCCTGGGTCTCGCGCGCCTCCGCCTGCTTGCCCCACACGGTGGCGTCGAGAGCGGCGAAGGTGATGGTGATGTTGTCTGGCGCTGGGAGCTGTAGGACGCCACCGCCGGCGTACTGCTCGAGGAAGGCACGTGCCTCGCTCTCGCCGCTGAAGGCGACGCAGATGGCGCGCGACGTGCCGATGACGGGCACGCTGATCGCGCTCGCCGGCTGCGCCTCGCAGCCTGGCGTCTTCCTCAGAAGCTGTCGAATCTCGGTGACGAGCGCCGTCGTGTTCTGGATGTCCGGGATGTGCGAGCCGTCGCGCGCCGCGAGCGCGACGTGCAGCAGGCGCTTCGTGCCGCGGTCGGTGCCGGCGGCCGCCGCAGCGGCCATCTGTGCGGCGTCCACCATAATGGTGTCGCCTTCTTTGGCGTCGTCGTCGTTGACGCGCGCGCTCGCGAGCTCGCCGTCGAGGCGGCGCTTCACGCCGAGTCTCTGGCCATCATCGGCCTCTTGCGCGCCGTCGCGGCCGCGCGCCGCGCCCTCGGCAGCGGCAGCGTTGAGCGCCGGCGGCGGCAGGCCGGCCGAAGCGAACGCCATTCAAGTGAAGCGCCGTTCAAACGGCGGAGCCCTGAATGAGAGCTTGAGCGCTATCGAGTGCAAAATTCTTTTGGTCCCTCGTATCACTCCCTCGTCGCGAGAGGTGGGTTGCAGCGTCCGAGCTCTAGGCGCGTGCTACCTGTCGGGTCGGGTCGGCGCAGCCCCTGTCTGGTTGTCCGGCTGCAGCGCGAGAGCGCGTGCTACGCCAGTGATGTACGGCTGGAAGAGCCAGCCCGGCTTCATCAGCTTCGACCGCAAGCAGGGTGGTGGCGCAGCCGCCTGGACCTGCACCCTCTGCGGCACCGTCAACCTCAAGGCTGACTTTGACGTCGTCTGTAAAAAGTGCAAGGCGCCGCAGCAGATGGGCGAGGAGATGGAGGTGGCGCCCCACACCATCGTGACCCAGACGCCGTACGAGGCCGACGCTGCGCCGAAAGCGAGCTTTGCGCCGGGCAGCAAAGGGCTCATGCAGCCGGACGGCGCGATGCTCTTCAAGACGCGGCTGTGCACAAACTTTCAGGCGAGCGGGCAGTGCCCATTCGCCGAGAAGTGCCATTTCGCGCACGGCGAGGAGGAGCTGCGCGACAAGCGCACGGGCCTCCAGCGCAACGCCGCGATGCAGGCCGGCCACAACATCCAGGGCATGGCGGCGCACGGCGCCGCCGCCGGCCTCGCGGCGCTCGCAGCGGCGCAGGTGGGTCTGCGAATCGGGCAGTCGGCGGCGGCCGACATGGCGACGCCGTGGACGAGGTCGGGGCAGCCGCTTCTCCCGGGCGCCGCCGCGGGCCTCCTCTCGCCGCCGGGTGCCCCGGGCTCGCTCGCGCCTCCGCCTCCGCCCGGCCTGCCTCCCGGCTGGGGAGGGATGGCTCCTCCTCCTCCGCCGCCGCCGCCGCCGCCGCCGCCGCCGCCGCCGCCCTTCCCACCTCCGCCGCCGCCGGGCGCGCCGCCGCCCGCGGTGCTGGCTGCGGTCGCCAAAGCCCGCGCAGAGGCCAGCGGCGGCGGCGACGACGAGAGGCGGCGCGAAAAGGCGGCGAAGAAGGCGGCCAAGGCGGAGCGGCGGGAGCGTCGGCGTCGGCGGGACAGCTCGAGCGGAAACGAGGCGGAGGAGGAGCGCAAGGGGCGCAAGGGGCGCAAGGAGCGCAGCAGGGAGGGTAGGGAGGGCAGGGAGGGTAGGGAGGGCAAGGAGGGCAAGCGGCACAGGCGGGCGCGCGACGACAGCTCGAGCGGCGACGAGCGGAGGCGGCGGAGAAGAGGAGCGGAGGCGGCGGTGAAGCAGAAGCCGTGCACAAAGAGGCAGCTGTGAATAGGCGGCGAAAAAAGGAGCGGAGGCGGCCGCGGCGGTCCGCCGACAGCGAGAGTGACGGCAGCGACGGCGGGGAGGAGAGAGGCGGGGAGGAGAGAGGCAGGGAGGAGAGAGGAAGACGCAGGAAGGCGACGCGAGGAAAGCGCGACCGGAGCTCCTCTAGCGACGGCGCCGACGCCGCGCCCGCGGCCTCCACCGCCGCAGCTCTCTCAGGGCAGACCGCTCTTTGCACTGCGTCGCCGGGGGCAGGCTTGACCAAGGTCGGGCGCGGGCACAGCTTCCCGCTTCAGCTGCCTGCCGCGGGCAAGGAGATGGGCACCGTCAAGATCTTTGTTCTGGACAAGGGGTGCGGCCTCATACAGACGGCACTCCCTTCCAACAGACGACACAGCCTCGGCCCCGCATCGCACGCACGGCCAGGCGGAGAGGCGGTGGCGGAGAGGCGGTGGCGGAGAGGCGGTGGCGGACACGCGGCGACCCGGGGGCGGGCGCGGCGACACGGGGTGGCGGGCGGCCACACACACGCGGCCCGCAGACGCGTCCGGTCCACTGCCTCTCCAAGGTCCGCCCCGTGCGGTCTGCAGGTACGGGTTCATCCTCCCCGACTCGGGCGGGGGGGACGTGTACTGCCACGCCGAGAACCTGCTCGACGGCACTGCGATGCTCGAGGGGGCACGCGTCTGCTACACGCCCGCCGTCGACCACGAGCGGGGAGGGAAGCGGGTCGCCAGAGAGGTCGAGATTAGCCGAGATGCGCCGAGATGCGCCGAGATGCGCCGAGAGATGGCGGGAAGCGGGTCGCCAGATCGCGCACCGCACCGAGCTCGTGCGGAGGCGCTCTTCACACGACGCGCCTGCGAGAAGGTCACCGGAGGGTACATCGACCCGCGCCGCCCGCCGCCGCCCGCGAGCGTCGTCGCCTACCTTACAAGTGGCGCGGGGCGCAATGGCGCGGCGGGCGGCGCGGGAGCTGCTGCTTCGGCGCTGCCGGGATCCGTCGCCTCCGCTCTCGCCGCCGCGGCCGTCGCCTCCACGACAGGAATGCCGCCGCCGCTGCCGCCGCCGCCGCCGCCGCCGCCGCCGCCGCCGCCGCCGCCGCTCTCGTCCGCCGCCGCCGCCGCCGCCGCCGCCGCGACAGCCGCAGTCGCCGCCACCGCCGCCGTCGTGCAGCAGCAG